CCCCCCCCCCCCCCCAGCTACGGGCCTGCGTGGAGGTTTTCAGCCCAGGATGAAATTTCAGCCTGGCAAACAAGGATGAAATTTCAGCCCGGGGCCCCTATAAATTCAATATAATATGAATTTTACGATTACTGTACATGGAAAAAATTTCGAAGTGCAAACGAAATGCAAAATAAAGCCACTTAAACGATTGTTTTTTTTTAGCCCGGGCTGAAATTATTTGCGATTACATGGGATATTTCATCCCGGTTGACAGGGCTGAAATTCAGGCCGGGTTGAAATTTTCATCCCGGTTTATGTCATCCAGGATGAGATTTTCAGCCCTGTCAACCGGGATGAAATACCCATGTAATTGCAAATAATTTCAGCCCGGGGTAAAAAAAAAACAATCGTTTAAATGGCTTTATTTTGCGTTTCGTCTCATCTTTAATACTTTATATTCAACCGCAGTCTAACACAAGTCAAATAGTCGACTAATCGGCGTTTTAAATGCTCAAACAAGCGGAATGAATATTGCCTTTCGTGATATCGTATGATTTCAGGCCGGGATGACATTTCATCCTGGGTTTGTTTTAATACTACAAGGAATAAATATTGCTCTCACTAAAACTCAGCCCAGGTTCAAACTGCCCATGTAATCGTGATTCTATTTCGGCTCGGTTTACCGGGCTGAAATTCAGCCCAGGCTGAAAACTCTCCATGTAATCGCTATAAAATATACAGAAATTATCTCGGTCATAGCACTATCTACTTAGGCCCCGATTACACTATACCGGATTGCATCGAAGCGACGCGATTTCTGTACCGGATTGGCCTCTTGTTTACACTACGCCACTGTAATCTGGTACGTGCCGCGGCGCGAAAATCACTTCGCTTTGGAGGTGATATGAAAAGTAATTCGGTACGTGCTGTACCGGATAAAACCAAGTGTAATCAGGCAATCCGGTACGCTCCGGTACTATAAATAGGTTTCGGCAAGTATATTTTAACATTGTCGTTTTATTTACTCGCTTTTAAATATTTTATAGCTGTTGTTTGCTTCGCTTTACAATTATTTATTATTTCTAGCGAAGACAAATAAAGATAGCGGTAATAACATTGACTTCTTGCTTTCAAAAGGGCAAAATTTAATGAAATACTCGTCAATTTTCGATAAGAGCGAGACAAAGCAACGTCGGGTGGTCAAGCTTTGTAAACAAAGTTATAATTCACAAGTACTGTCGAGAAAACGTCCAAAATGGTCAAAACTTATTATTTGTTTCCGTGGCAACGATAAAAGGTACGAGCTGGCGACAGAGCGAAGCGGCATAGTGTAAACACCCTTGATTTTGGCTTCGGTGTGAAAATTGATCCAGTATGAAAATTGATCCGGTATGAAAATCAATCCGGTATAGTGTAATCCCAGCCTTAGTCTTAAATAAAGAATGCTGTGACTGCTAAAACCATGTAAATTGCTAATAATAGCCATTCTTAAGGAAATGCATTTTCGGGTTTAATTCCCCATGAAAATAGCAACTATTTATGAGAAAATAGCGACCGGAACTTCCGGAAGGAACAAAACACTTGTAGATTTCAGTCACGCTATATGTCGAAAATACCCAATATTCACGGTCTCCGTACGAACTCTAAATACAATAACCCAGACTAATTTTTTTATATGTTCTAGAAGAACATTTGATTAGTTAATGGCGTACGTTTCGTGTAGAAAAAATCTGGGGCACTTAGTTAAAATGGTTTTGGCGTGGCAACGGTAGATTGTAATTTTAGCTATGTGTGAATACCATACGATTCTAAATATCAGCTGTCTGGTTTTAATTAATAGTTAATATCATGATTTTATACTCAATCGAGTCTCAAACATCTCTTCCATCGATTTACAAACGTACAGTTTTCATATCTTCTCCAATTCTGCATGCGTTAGTTGTTTTTGAACCTGTTTGATTCAATTGAAAATTTGCATATTTTTAGGCAGCCGACAGTTGAATCGTTTTTCTTTGATTTCTCAGAATTTTAGCGGTTTTTTGAAAAACAAACTACATCACGTTTGTTTACTTGGTAATGCCTTCCTGCAAACAAAAAATGAGCAAAATCGAAACTTTGAGCGTGACCGGCTGATGCTCGATATTAGTGGACCTTCGCTCTTAAATCTCTTAACGAGGACCAATTGGAGGGCCAGTCTGGTGCCAGCAGCCGCGGTAATTCCAGCTCCAATAGCGTATTGTAAAGTTATTGCAGTTAAAAAGCTCGTAGTTGCCCGGCGACGGTCAGCCGCAAGGTATGTCACTGTCGACGTTGGCCTTCTTCGCGCAGACTTCGCGTGCTCTTAACTGAGTGTGCGTTGGATACGCGACGTTTACTTTGGAAAAAATTAGAGTGTTCAAAGCAGGCTTGTGCTTGGATACATAAGCATGGAGTAATGGAATACGACTTTGGTTCTATTTTCCGTTGGTTTCTGGAACCGAAGTAATGATTAATAGGGACAGTTGGTGCATTCGTATTTCTTTGTCAGAGGTGAAATTCTTGGATTTACGAAAGACGAACTAATGCGAAAGTATTCGCCAAGAATGTTTTCATTAATAAAGAACGAAAGTTAGAGGATCGAAGACGATCAGATACCGTCCTAGTTCTAACCATAAACGATGCCGACTAGGGATCAGCGAGTGTTATTTGATGACCTCGTTGACACCTTATGGGAAACCAAAATTTTTGGGTTCCGGGGGAAGTATGGTTGCAAAGCTGAAACTTAAAGGAATTGACGGAAGGGCACCACCAGGAATGGAGCCTGCGGCTTAATTTGACTCAACACGGGAAAACTCACCAGGTCCAGACATAGTAAGGATTGACAGATTTATAGCTCTTTCATGATTCTATGGGTGGTGGTGCATGGCCGTTCTTAGTTGGTGGAGTGATTTGTCTGGTTAATGCCGTTAACGAACGAGACCTTGACCTGCTAAATAGTCAGACGATTCACAAATCGCTCTCGACTTCCTAGAAGGACTGTTGCGTGTTTAACCAAAGTCAGGAAGGCAATAACAGGTCTGTGATGCCCTTAGATGCCCTGGGCCGCACGCGCTACACTGACGATGGCAACGAGTCGCTCCTTCACCGAAAGGTGTGGGTAATCTTGTGAATCATCGTCGTGCTGGGGATAGATCATTGTAATTCTTGATCTTGAACGAGGAATTCCTAGTAAGCGCGAATCATCAGCTCGCGTTGATTACGTCCCTGCCCTTTGTTCACACCGCCCGTCGCCACTACCGATTGAATATGGTTTAGTGAGGCCTCCGGATTGGCACTGTCAGATGGGCTTCGGCTCATCCGACGGACGTCAAAAAGTTGGTCAAAATTGATCATTTAGAGGAAGTAAAAGTCGTAACAAGGTTTCAGTAGGTGAACCTGCGGAAGGATCATCATCGTTTCGTCTAAGACGTAACTGTTCGAAAGCGACCGGGTCGTGTACCCATCGCATTCGAATAACCCTGTGAACCTAACAAACCAAAAGGGAGATGGACGCCACGGCGTGTTTAAATTGGTTGATGGGCACATCGATGTGGAAGTTGAAATATCACTTCATTTCGCCATCGCCCGACCTCTCGAGTTTTGCTTTTGTAAACTTATATATTGTCGTTTGACTTTGTTTCAGAAAAGTTACTAATACAATGGTTAACTTTTTACGGTGGATCTCTTGGCTCGTGCATCGATGAAGAACACAGCCAGCTGCGTTACGTAGTGTGAATTGCAGAATTCAGTGAATCATCGAATCTTTGAACGCAAATGGCTCTCTTGGTTATACCGGGAGCATGTCTGTCTGAGTGTTGGTTAAAAACGAGAAGCGAACGCGTTTTTACGCGTTCGATTCGATTGAGGCGTCGCGTTCGATTGTAAAAAAAAAACGCGTCCCTCGAAGTGCAGCACGCGTTCAACACGTCGCCGTATGAGCAAGGCCTAAATTTGTATTATATGTATACATATGACAACTGTGGATCGGCCCAAGGAATATCCGTCCGAAGAAGTTTAAGGCGGATACGTTTAATATCCTTCAGCCAAACTAAAAGATGTACATGAACTGTGCCGCGGCCCTGAAATTCGAACCTATAAAAGTATGTTTGTACGTTACTAAATGTAGCTATGTTGTTATAATTGAAAACATGATTTGACCATTTCTTGTCATCTGACCCGCACAGGTAACCGCGGATAATTTGTTCCAGAACATGTGTTATATGTGTAGTCTCAAAAGAAGCTAGTTGGGTTGGACCCTTGCCAGTAAGAAACCTTAGAGAAATCCTTGGAGAAACCATTGACCTGAGCTTCAAAATTAAGTGTCATGTTTCAATATTCAGCAATGCAATTACATTCCTAATTAACTGCTAAAATATGTCAAACTTTAACTATTATGAGCAAATTTCTTCAATTTCTCACAGGCCGTGTTCATGGCCAATCGGACAACACTACCCCCAATGTTAGAAATTATGGGCGGATTTACTTGGGAGGGGGGGGGGGGGTTAAACCCC